CAGCAGGAAACCTGCCACCCAAGTCATATTCGAGGTGTGGTCAGTGCAAAGGCCTACACTTTATAATCTTCAGGATTCATTTTACAATCTTCATTTCTCATTAAATGTAACAAATTACAGAGGAAAATATTAGGATTTATTAACAGCATTCATCTTTAATTATTATACTAGAAATTTTCATCTTACCCTGATCACCAAAATTTAATACATTCAAAAACGTCATCACATAGCGCTCGCCTGTAAATGGAAGGGTAAAATAATGAGCATTTCAAATGGACATTCATTTCTCGTTTCCCTTTCTCTCTACAGTCCTCTGCACCCATTCAACTGGAAGGACAGCAGCCAGAAGCCAGGCCAAACTACCACACAGGTCAGCCTCGCAGTTTAAGAACACAAATGGGAAAACCTGTCCTGTAAAGTAAGAACTTAAGGGGCCAGCAGGAGTGGTAGTTAAGGTGTCAGACTCCCACATGGCCAACTACAGTTCAAGTCCTGGACTCGACAGCTCAAACATCACGCCAGGCATCTGTGTGTGCATGTCCAAAATCCCAGGAGAATGGAAGGGAAGGGACTGTGACATGGCCATTGCTCTAGGGGGCGATTTCTCACTTTTCTCTCTTGCGAGCACACTCACTCTATAGCAAAATCCTTAAAAAATAAAAAAAATTAAAAAAAGAGAGAGAGAACTTAAGTTTTTCTCTAGTTTCCAAATTTTCTGTAATTGATATAATACTTAAATTCATTATAATGTCATAACATGAGGTTTTGGAGTTAGGCTTAGATTAGTCATTTAAGCTGTTCCTCATTTCTGTAGGATCCTGAAGAAGTTCAATAACCTCACTGACCCTCAATTCCCTTACCCACAGTAAAGGGTAACAATACCTTTCCTAAAGGCTGAGGAGAGATTTAAATTAGACAACTCAACGCATAAAGCTAACTAAATGTTGCTCTCCCTCTCCTTATTCAGAAACCCCATTTCTGGGGACCAGTGAATGATGTAATGGTTGTGTCGCTGGACTCCTAGGTAGCCAACCGTGGTTTGAGTCTCAGACTTAGTGGCTTAGGACTCACGCCATGTGTGTGTGCATGGATGCTGAAATCCTGAGAGGAGAATGGAGAAGGAATTGCAGCATGGCCATTCTCCCGGGAGGTGATGTCTCACTTTCTGTCTATTTCTGTATCGCTCTGGTGAGCGTGCGTGCCCTAAAGCAAAAATCTCTCTAAACAAAGAATAATAATAATCTGAAGTTCTGACTGGGTGTTCTCAGCAGGAGGTCTGGGCCCAGGTAACAGCAATTCCGTGAATCCCCTCCCTTCTCCTAGGGCCTCCTAACTGCTCGGATCACCTTTTACTTACCTTCTGTCAAAATCTGTTTCAAGAAAGACTGTTTGAAAAAACTCCAAGTCAGTTTAGCCTCTTTCCAATTTATGAAAGCCTAGAAAACAAAATAAAACAAATCCTAGGTATTAAGATGTACGAACACAAATCTGTCTGGGAGGCAAATGCACGCTGGTCTCTAAATCCCCACTTGGACAGTCGCTCATTTGATCTAAGCACACGGAAAGCATCTCATAAGTAGGGGGCGGGATCTACATGACTACATGGGAAGACCAAGTCTGAAAGGGCTTGCCCAAGATTTGCACACTGAGACCCCTACAGTACTGCCGTGTCCACCTGGGCCCAGGCCACTGGCCACATCAGGGACAGACAGCGCACAGCCGAGTACTTCCTTGCAAACGTCTGAAACATGCTGAGCACAGAACAGATGCCTCTCCACACGCCCCAGCTCTTAGTGCTACCTGCAGCCATCCCGGGCTTCTGTAGGAAGCACATGAGCTGTGCTTGGGTATTTCAAAAAGAAAACTCAGCCTTTCTGGGGCAGGTAAGCCACCCGGAATTGGTACGACAGTGGGAAGGAGAAACAAAACTGATACGGCTCTTCCCAGGGGGCAAACATTTAGGTTGGGCAGAGGGCAACCTGTCAGAGAGGGGTGGCCTCAAAGCCAGAGAGCTGGCCACACACAGGAGAGGGCAGCCAGATGGACAGCACCGTCTCCCAACTCCTATTTTCTTTCCTCCTCCAGTTCCTTCTGGGTCCCTGCCTCTATTGTGCAGGCTTCAGGGGTCCCAGAAATGTTCAGTGGAGGTGTTAGGTTCCTAATCCCAGTGTCTGCATTTGGTGAGTGAAGACTTCTGAATGGTGGGATTTCAGGGGACTCTTTTGGAGGGGAGAGAGAAATCACAAAGGCCAAGCGAACTTCACCTCCTCAAAGGGTCAGCCTCGGCTGTGGAGGCTGGCTCAGGGACAAGCCTGGAACGTGCCACAGTCATGTGGGTCCCTGCTCTTGGCCCAAAGCCGGTCTCTTGCAGGGCAACACTATCCAGGAGAAATGTGCCAGCATAGAGGCCACGCACATAACGTTAAGTGTTCTGGCAGCCACAGCGAACAGGAAAAAGAAACAGATTGATTTCCGTGTATCTTAGGGCCACAGATGATGTGGAGGTATGCTGCTGGACTCCCACATAGCCAACCATGGTTCAAGTCCAGGACCCGGTGGCTTGAAACTCATGCCAGGTGCGAGTGTGTGCATGCCCAAGATCCCTGGAGGAGAATGGAGAAGGGATTGTGGTGTGGCTATCTCCCCAGGGGGTGATTTCTCACTTTCCCTCTCGCTGTCTCTTTCTCTCTCTGGCGAGCGCATGTGCCCTAACGCAAAAACCTCTTAAAAAAGCCCATACATCTTATTTAACCCAAAACAGTATTACTTTAACATGTAATTAATGTAAAAAATGACTATAGTCAGTTTACATGAATTTTTCCATACAAAGTCGCTGGGCTCCCATGTGTATTTTGCACTTACAGCACACCTCAGTTCAGACCAGACATTACAGCCACTTGCATCTGGTGGCTTTGTGGGACAGGGCAAGTCTAGAACACCACTGAGAGCTCATTTCCATCCCTCACTGTTCTCAGCACTTGGCTTCTGAATCCTCCCAAACTGTGCTACCTCTGGGGCATCACTAACTCAGAGCAGATGCCAGGGCAGCAGTAGCCTTGGGTAAATACTCCCCATTCAAGAGGAAACTGGGCCACTAGATGGTTAAAGCAGGCCAGATCCTTTCCCCAGAACAAAGAGCACCAGACAATTTCTACCACCAGGGGGCACTGCACACCACATCAGCAGCAGCAGCGTCTTTCCTGGTCAGTGCAGGGGAGACCTGAGCTCCATGTCTCCCACCCTCAAAGGGTCCTCATCCCTGCCAGAACTCCCCTCCCCCTGACCTCATGCCATGAAGTCATGACGGTGGATATAGTCTGAAGCTCGTGTCTGAGGCTCCTTCTTCTCAAGCCTTTATGTCACATAGGCCGAGGTTCAGAAGGCACGGCCACATTGTCACCACCTTCACAACGTGCAGTTAGGACATGGCGGCAGGAAATCTGACCTGAGATCTGGGCTCCTCTCGGAGGCCTGTGCTAAGTGCAGAAAAGAGGAAGCACATGCTGGGGGTTTCTGTCACTCTGCTCAGAATGGATCTGCTGCTTGGGATGGTCAGAGGAGGCCTACTTCACAGGGCTAGGCCGGTACGGCTGAGTTCATCTAAATGGCGGTGAACTCTGGAATCCCCCGACCAACAGGCCAGGCCTGGCCCTTGCAGCACTGATGGAGAAACTGGGCTTGGGTGGAGAAGGGCAGGGTGTAGACTTTGGGAAGGTCTGAAAAGAACTCAGAGACTTGCGGCCTCTACTTAGCCTTCTCCATTCCCCAAACTCTTCTGGCCCAGGAGGATCTGACTGCCTGCATCCTCCCCACCCCACAAGCCAGCAGGAGATGGGGCCAGTCCTGTGCCTGCTGTCCTTCACCTCCACCACCTCTGCCCCCGCTCCCCTACCCCAGCCACCACAGGGCCAGCAGCTGCCCTGCCCTGCCCACCCAGCCTCTCCTGCCCTCCCCATGAGCCTGCCTCTGCCTCCCATGCACTTTTCACTTCCAGCTTTCTCTCTGGAATTCTACAAACATAGAAAGGGAACTCTCTGGCAAACTGACGTTGAATGTAACTGTCTGACCAGTGGGAAGCAAGAGCGCCCAGTCAGAAAGCTGCTCCCAGGAGGCAAGCAGGGCGTGCTGCCCGCAATGAGGACAGACTTCAGACTCACGGCACTTCTTCGAAATTTACCCGTGGGTGCACGCGCTTGCTAGAAAGAAATAGAGAGACAGGGAGGTAAGCCAGAAAGCACCTTCCACAGTGCATGGTCACACCAAATCCTGTTGCTTCCATCTCTCCCTCTTTTCAGGATCTGGGGCATGCACACACATTTACACAGCATGTTTCTCAAGCTGCTGGGTCTGGGACGTGAACTGCATAGTCGGCCGTGAGGGGTCCAGGTTCCTTAACCACCACACCACAGTCTGGACCACTTTTCTCTTCTTAAAATTATAAACCTTAATAATGAGTTGTTTTACCCAAGATTTCCCAATCTTTTTTTTTTTTTTTTTTGAGAGGTTTTTTCTATAGGGTGCATGAACTTATCAGAAAGACAGAGAGGCAGAGAGACAGAAAGTGAGAAACCACCCCCCCCCCCCAAGGGGGGAGGGCCCCGCCATAATCCCTTC